GGAGATTTAAGAGACGGGTCTCGCTCTTGCTCAGGCTGGTTTCAAACTCCTGACCTTGAGCGATCCGCCCGCCTCGGCCTCCCAGAGCGCTAGGATGACAGGCGTGAGCCACCTCGCCCGGCCCATGACTGCTGATTTCGACAGATCACCGGGCTCTATGGAAGGCAAAGGGATATTGGAAGGAGAAGTGCAATACTGTCTGTGAGGACGCTCTGAGGCCTCCAGAGAAAGGCATGTGCTTAAATGCGGCAGAAGCCCAGGAATGAGGACAGGATGGCGGGGTCCGGTTTCAGCTCCACTAAGTGGCAAGAGGGGGTGACGGTGGTCTACCTGACAGTCATCCTACTGAACGCTGTCCTTGTGCAACCAAGGCCTGCTGCTGACCCTCTGGTCTGCAGGTGGTCATTCCGGCTACTCCACCGGACAGGAGAACCACCACACCCGCCCGTTCCTTTCACCATTTGTCTCAACACGAAAACCATGCTGCGCGCACAGCATTCTCCATCTGTCATGCCACAGACGTGTTTGCACGTGCAGTTCATGCTCACAACAGCACGCCGTCAAACCCGCCTCCTTGTCACGCTCGTGGACCGCTCTCTACTTTCATGATGTTGGAGGAAGACAGTGTACTGAGGGTCAAAATACCAATTCCAGGGCCGGGCGTGGTGGCTCACGCCTGTCATCCCAGCACTTTGGGAGACCGAGGCGGGCGGATTGCTCCAGGTCAGGAGTTCAAAACCAGCCTGAGCAAGAGCGAGACCCCGTCTCTACTAAAAATAGAAAGAAATTAATTGGCCGACTAATATATAGAGAAAAAATTAGCCGGGCATGGTGGCGCGTGCCTGTAGTCCCAGCTACTCGGGAGGCTGAGGCAGGAGGATCGCTTGAGCCCAGGAGTTTGAGGTTGCTGTGAGCGAGGCTGACGCCACAGCACTCACTCTAGCCTGGGCAATAGAGTGAGACTCTGTCTCAAAAAATATATATATATACTAATTCAAGTCCTAACTAGTTCTCTAATTAACCATGAGACCTTATCCTTGGCCTCCCTGAGGCCAATAACTCTTGCTCACTGGTCTTCCTGAGTGGACGGAATGACCTAATGAACTAATAATGTACTCAAAGTGCTTTTAAAAAGTAAGAGTATCTTTTAGTAACAGTGCTCTTATTTTAAAAATACTGATGCAATATCAAATAATTCAAAATCTGCCCTACATACAGTTTTACAAGTTAATAAGCATGCACATTTGCAAGTGAAACATCAGCTTACCATGCAATCTCTCCATGTGTGCTTGTGTGTTCTGAACACGTTCTGCTAGCTTCAGATCTTCTATATTCTGTGCATGTATAACCATGCCCAGGCCGGGTTACTGCGGAAATTTTTATTTTTAGAGTGATTAACAGTCATTTTCCTTCCTGACACTGCTATTTAGCTGAGCTAGAGATAATCTTCTCAGAAAAAAAAAAAACTCCTTAAAACACTATTCATTATTTTCAAAAATAGCCACAGTCCATTTTAAAACTGAGTTAATGATAGATTTTCCTGAGAAGAATTCCCCATTTAGTAATTAAGTAGCAAAATGTTTACTCCTAGAAAATGCTTGTTTCCCAGGGATTATTAATCATGCTTTATTGGGGAGTAATCAGTTACATAGTTTATTTTCCTGCCCCTTTTAGAAAATTTAAATGCTGAGATACTCATTTTTTGCTATGAAAATCTACCTAGTAATTACCATATTTACTTTTCATTTATGGGGGAATAATCTGTTTTAATTAAGCCTAACTGAAGAACTTTTATCAGATGTAATTATCCCTTTCGATAAATATGTCTCCACTAATTACATTTAACCATGGGATTTATAGCTCTTAAGTCATTTAGTAGGAAACGTAATAAATCTTTAGTAATACATGCTAAATTACTATAAATTAATTCAGATCATTAACATAATAAACAAATTAGGATAATTTTGTTTAATTAGTTTGGGTGGTTAACTCAAAATCCCATGTAAGCCTCATGGTAATCTTGATTTCACCATTATTTCTGGAATGATACATTTTTTTAAACAAATCTATCTTAATATTTAAATATAAGGCAGGTTTCTCTTAAGCCTTAATTCTTTGACAACTGATAATTTTCTAAAGAGGGAATTTAACTGAGTATTCTTTAGTTTCTGAACTTTATCAAATTTACGTAAACTTTTATTGCCCAAATATATTTCAAGTAAAAATACCTTAAATTTCCTCCTTAAGTAAACTAATTTTTTTGTTTTCCATTTCAATATACGTATCCCAATAAAAATCTTCTTGCTACATGTGTGTGTGTAATAATACATTTTCAGGTGTATTTTTAGGAAGCTTGAGTTCTTAATTTGGATTAAAGAAGAAAAAGTACATGCAGGGATCCTCAAACTTTTTAAACAGGGGGCCAGGTCACTGTCCCTCAGACCGTCAGAGGGCTGGACTATAGTTTAAAAAAAAAAAAAACTATGAACAAATTCCTATGCACACTGCACACATCTTATTTTGAAGTAAAAAAACAAATGGGCAAAAACACCCGCATGTGGCCCGCGGGCCGTAGTTTGAGGACGCCTGGTATATAGCAGTAGGAAGAGAACATTAAACCAAGAGGCACTTAAAGAAATTCAGGAAAAATAAAAGGGAGCATGTCTTTCACAGGGCATGGAAACCTTACGGGAAGTCGTAATCTCCAGAGATGGTGCAGACCACAAGATGTGATTACCTTCCAAAATAGTTCGGCCAAATCCAGAGATGCCAGCCTCAGCGCGGGTTATTGGAGAGGCCGTACAGCCTGTTCTTCACACCCCTGCCAAGCTTCCCCTCTGTCTTTTTCCACTTGCTTTCGCCCAGGCATCCACACCTCAAGGAAGCCGAGGCGGGCCAGGCGTTGCCACTGGTTCGAGATGAATTTCCAGCGACTCGACCAGCCCCGCTGGGCCTCCTGGCTCCCAGGCTCCTCCTCTAGGAGAAAACTGCCGGGTGTCCTTCCCTGGTTTACAACCCTTGCCTTCCTCCCCTCCTCCACCGGGAGGCCCCTCTGATTCCAGCAGCTCCCACAGCTCCAGGTAGGAGACGCTGCCTGCACCTGCCAGGCCGGTCCGGCCCCGCGAACCTCTGCCCAGGCCAGCCCTCCTGCCCCCACGAGAGGAGAGAGGAATTCAGGCAGCATTTTAGTCACTGAGGCCCACAGTAGTTACTCGAAATGTGCTCAGATGAATGGGAAGCTCAGGAGCAATGTCTGAGAGACCCGCCACGCCTTGATGCTGCCTAGTGCTTGAGGGACTCAATATGCGTGTTTATTCTACTCCTTCATTTAGGAGACATTTGGTAGGAATGTAGGAACACGCTCCACCCTTTCCCCCTTTATATGAGATAAGAGATTCTCGACGAGCATCTAATCCTGTCCGGGTCATCGCTCAGTTCTATGCCGTGGGGAATGGCATGCACACACAGATCTGTGCCCGTCCTGAGCTTGCCGTTCCTCAGACGGCTCCCAGCTCTTCACTTCTGGCCCACTGGAAATCTCGCATCCTCGGAAATGTTCTCCCCGCCCCCCATGAGAGACATGGTCTTTCGGTTTTAGGCTATCCTGATACTCTGTGCACACTCTTCAAACCACTTGTCCTGATGTTGGTTTACCGTCTTTCCCTCTCCCAAGGTTGGAAGCCCCGCGAGAGCAGAGACCACAGGTGTCCTGTCCTCGTGACGTCCCCGCACCTCACAGAAGTCCCCCCATAGTTGAGCACTCGGGGAGTGGCTGGTCCAGGGTGAGGAAGATCGAGGGGAGGAAACAGAGTCAGGCTGTATCATGATTATGTCTCATAGCTAATATGACAAAGCGGTTAGTGTGAGTCGGGTACTCCTCAAGTACTGTAAATGTACAAATTCTTTGCACCTTCACCTTAACGTCACAACGTAGGTGCTGTTGTAATTTGAGAGATAGAGAATTTACATGAATTCTGGAACCAGATACTATTGTGTATTTTTTTTTAGCAGAAGAAGAAATAGAGAGAGATGATTAGCTTGCAAATGTCACATAGCTAGCAACTGGCATAGCTGTGATTCCAAACCGTGCGCTTAGCCAGTAAGCAATATCCATTCTCTATCCCACTAACTATGGCAGCGGGGGCCAGAAACCAAGACTGTCTCTGAGTCTGAAAGCTCACCAGATTTTTCCAAGTATTATCATATTGCACATTTGAGTAAAGAAGAGAAGAACATCTATCTCAAAACATTGAAAAAAAAATCAATTCAAGATGGATGATAGACATAAAAGTTAAAACAACAGAGTTATCAGAAGAAATAGAAGGATTATCTTTGTGACTTTGAAGTCAGCAAAAAAAACCATGAAAAAACTTGGTAACTTGGACTTCATTTAAATTAAGAGCTTCTGATTATCAAAAACACCACAAAGGAAACGAACAGGCAAGTGAAAGTAAGGGAAAGTATCCATAGTACATGTATTTGACAAACGACTTGTGTCCAGAATATGCAAACAGCTCCTGCAACTCAATAATAAAAAGCCAAACAATCCAATAAAAAAATCAGACAAAAAGATTTGAAAAGACACTTTATAAAAGAAGATATACACATAGCCAATAAACAGATTAAAACATGCTTAACATCTCTGGCCATCAATGAAACACAATTAAAACCATAAAACACCAAAACCCATAAAATTTGAAAGACTAAAAATGCCAAATGTTGTATAGGATATATGGCACTGAATCATATATTGCTGGTGGGATGTGACACCGGTACACTTGAAAACTGGCAATTTCTTAAAAAGTAAAAACATAACGCTCTATAACACAAATTCCATTTCTAATTTTTATCAAGAGAAATCAAGTGTCTGTCCACAAAGAAAGCCTTGTGCACCAAATGTTCCTAACAGCTTTATTGATGACAGCTCAAAGCGGAACCCATGCAGACGTTTGTCATCAGGATAAGGTACATGGATTATGTGTAGTCACACAATCGAATACTAATAAAGAAGGAATAATCTCCTGACACATGTAACAACATGGATTAATCTCAAAAACCATTATGCTGAGAGAAAAACAAACAACAAAAAATATATTAGCCTGAATGATTCCATTCATATGAAATCCTAACATAGCAAAACTGACTTTGATGACAGGAATCAGATCAGTGTTGCTTCTGCTGGGTTACGGGGGAGAGAAGAATGATGGAAGGGTCGTAGGAGAACCTTCTACGGTGATGTCATTGTTCTGTGCCTTGATATAAATCATTAAAACTGACTGAATATGGACCGCAAACTTGTGCAACTCTGTGGAAAGCAATATGGAATGCCTTAAAAGTGATACAAGTGGATCTACCATTTGATCCAGCAATCCCACTACTGGGCATCTACCCAAAAGATCCAATGACACTCTACGAAAGAGACACCTGCATCGGATGTTTATAGCAGCACAATTCACAATCGCAAAGCTGTGGAAACAACCGGTGCCATCAATTCATGAGTGATTAATAAATGTGGTATAGTACACCATGGAGTACACTCAGCTCTAAGAAACAACGGTGATCTAGCACCTCTTGTTTTTCCTGGATAGAGCTGGAACCCATTCCATTAAGTGAAGTGTCCAAGAATGGAAAAACCAGCACCACATGGGACTCACCAGCAAATTGTATCAACGATCAACACCTCAGTGGACACATAGGAGTACATTTAGGTGTCGGGCAGGTGGGGAGAGGAGGGGTATACAGAAACACAACGAGTGAGATGTTCAACGTTTGGGGGATGGACACACTTGAAGCTCTGACTCGAGGGGGGAGGGGGACATGGGCAATATACGTAACCTTAACATTTGTACCCCCATGATATGCTGAAATAAAAAACAATTAAAAAAACTGATCGAATGGTATACTGTATATTTAAGAGCTACGGATTCCACTGTATATAAATTATGCTTCAATTTTAAAAAAAGGTTTTTTTTTAAGCTAGCGAAAGAGATCCATGATGATTTTAACAAGATACAGTTTTTATGCAGATAATACCAGCTTTAAAAATGAGGTTGCGGAGGTGAAGGAACAAGCATAAATACCCATTAGTCTATGAGGAAACAATGTCAGCGTTCTGAACATAGTGGCAATTTTTGTTTTTACTGTGACCCAGATGATGATTATATTAATATTCCTTTGACATTGTAGGATACAACAGTGTTAACTGCTCGGTCTGCAGCTGAGAGCCAGCATCGCACACGCGTGCCGGAGTGTTCTGTGCTCCTGTGGCGGAGGCGGCCTCGGGGCAGGGATCTGCCCTGCCTCTGCTCCAAGTGAGGTAGGTAGATGCTCCCCAAACCCCGAACGGGAGCCCCCGACGGATCGCCCA